CAATAATTCTTCAAATCAAGAGATAAATAAAAGGAAATAATAAATAATATATTATGCTACCGAATGAACTGCTATCATAATTCATACCTATTGCAGGTGCACTGGCATGTTGCAACGGTGACACATGGGCCTCTGAGCTGGGGGCAGTCATGAGTTCCGGAGAACCTGTACTTATTACGTCTCTTCAGCCCGTACCACGTGGTATGTACTCTTGTGTTTCATGATTGTCCTTTGGTTTCTTGTGTCAAGAGCCAGTTTAGGAAAAAACGTATTTTCTTCTTTTAACTCTTTGATGTTGGGAACATGCACTATAAGGTGTGATTAAGATTTATTGTTGTTGTTATTTATTGGGAACATGCACTATAAGGTGTGATTAAGATTTAATATTGTTGTTATTATTTTTCATACACTGATGGCTCTACAAGTACTTAAGTCACTCAGGAAGGCACTAATCCTGCCTGACCTCACTTATTAAAATTATTCCTTGAATTTTTGGGAAGTTTTTGTTTCTATTATTTACTTTATAAAGGTTCTTAATGTTATAACAGTAGGAATTGAAAAAAAAAAAAAAATACAATTGTTGGAATGAGGCACTTGTGGAACCTTTGTGTGTATAAGAATGTATATCTATATATTGTTACCTGGTGTCAACTTTTTTTTTTTTTATGTCATGCAAATCTAATGCAGTTGTTTTTACAAGTGGATATGTATTGTCTGATGCCAGTTAATTGTTCATCGTTGTAAGTGTAGTGTTCGTCTTTTGTATCAGTTCCCTATGAGTAGAATCAGCTAATGATTAAGGTAATTTGTGCATACTGTTAATTTCTTTGTTAGCAAATAAGAAGGAAGAGGGTTAAAAAGATATGACCTCTAAATAATTTGCCTTGTCACTGTATTAACTAAATGACCTATTATGATTCCACATGTATAAAAAAAATCATATTTTTATTCTATGTAGTTTATATCTAAATTAGTTTTTCATATATTATCCACATAACTACTGAAATATCCATGGTGATTTTATTGTTCTTATCACTGTCAAGATAAAAACAATTTCGCCTTTTTAGCTTATAATGTCTTTCAAAAAATGCTGGAATAATTTTAGCTGAAAATTGGGGCTGAAATAGGCTGACTTATGGATGGAACTGTAATAAGAACTAAGTCAGCATTTGGAAAAAAGTTTTATTGACCATGTATAATTTTAATGAATAACAGGTATAATAGAAATTGTTCTTTTACAGGAACAAATGGAGCTGTAAGCACCTCAGGTATCGTCATGAGCCTCTTGGGAGGGCTTGTAGTGGGCATCGGGCACTACTTAACACTACTCATGTTTGTGTCAAGTCCCGTTATGATCTCAGCACCGGCTCAGTGGCCCATAATCATAGTAGGGGCAGTTGGAGGACTTCTCGGTAGTCTCATTGATTCGGTGATTGGAGCTACTATGCAGTTCTCAGGTATGGAACTAGGTGGGTCATCAATTTTAGTAATATCATTATGTACGTTTGGCTTGATGCCCTGCTGCTGCGTGGCTTCTCAGCTTTTAGGAAGTTACCCTTTAAAGTAGGTACGGATGCCCTGTTCTGTGGCTTTTTAAGCTGAGGCTAATTTTATTCTGTGCAGGATAGACAAATGACAGAAATGTGATGTCAAAATCCACAAATGCATACTGAATCAAGAGCAAGAATAAGATCTACTTTATGTGGATGGTAGTTGGTAATCGAGAAGCAGTGATCTACTGTGAATGATATGGCAGAATCTTGCTACCTCAAGATTTCAGTAATGATTCAGGAATTCTTTTCTTCAGCAAGCTGCATGTAAATCTGTTAAATTCTGAATGTATCATACAAATTTCTGGAAATTTTTACTTTCAGTTTTGACATGGCTTCAAAGAGCACATCAAACAAAAAGCTGCTTACAGCTTGCTTTTTATGCTAATATATTGAAATTATGAGATGGGAGTAATATGAATTGTTTTTGAACTTTCATAATCTTTTTCCAGGCAACTATTTTATGATACAAGTTTTAGTAAAGAATAGACTTAGAGATATGAGTTTAAGAATGAATAACCATTTCATAAAGTGCTGACAGATTTCTTGGTCCTTTCAGGCATGGACTCAAATGGAAAGATTGTTGAAAGACCCGGAGATGGAGTGATACCAATATCGGGGTCATACATCTTGGACAACCATGCGGTCAACCTCATAAGCTCTCTCCTAACTGCTCTCCTGCTCCCAAGGATTGCCCTTGCGATCATGTAGAGAAATAACTCACAAAATAATGTCGATCTGATTTGTTTATAAAGAATAGCTGTAGATTTCCTTTTTTTTTTTTTTCAAAATTTTCTTCATTCATACATGAACAAATTTCTTTCTTGGCAGCTCTTACATAGAGATGCAAGATCATGAATCTGTGTCAGTTTAGGGTGACATTAGGTATATTTTTCGAATTCCTGTTGAGGATACTAACTGTGACTGTGATAAGGGCAGCATCTTACGAATGTATTTGGTTGACTGAGGTGTATTGGAGAGGACCCTGCTGTGGAAGTGCTTCCCTTTTCGTTATGTATGCTTTGGCCAGTGTTGTAGGAGGGACACTTTCCACATTCAAAACACAACTTGGAAGGAGGAAAAGTGTTACTCTCATTACAGTGGTTGTCTTCTTATTTTCCGGTGCTAAAGTGGGCATTTGGTAGTTAGCTCTCTCATCCTGTTTGCATAGATGATAACGGTCTTTTCAGATTGATTTTATTGTTTGAATGTTACTGCTGTGTGTGAAATAGGTGGAGGTGTTTGATGGCCGTTATGCTGTATATACTCTAGAAGATTTGGTAAAGAACAAAAGATTATTGTTATTTTGAGGTTTGTATTCATATACATTGTACTTACAGATTTTGTTGTTGTTGTTTTTATTTATTTATTCATGTCTTATTTAATTAGTTTTGATCATTATTATTACTATCATTATTATAATCAATGTCATTAGCATTGATGATTACCTGATTACGTTTGGACATCAGTCAATAATAAGTGGACGAGTATGACATTCTTTTTGATATGAAAATGATTTGGAAGTGTGGAAGAAAGCATTGGGAAAAAGTGTCGAAGAGGAAATGGTAACCTAGAGTTTATTTTGCTTTATTTTGTTAATTACTTGAAGGGAGATAAAATGATAATTCTTATTTGACAGAGGAAGAATAATCTAAGAAAATACTCTGTTATTTATTAATCATGGAGATAGCAAAGTTTATTTTGTATTCAAAGGGAAGAATATGGGTTGTTATTTGTTGTTGAAAGAAGATTGACTAGTCCTTTATTACTTATTCCTGTTGTTTGTTCAAGAAAGATGAAATTGTTATTTGCTAATTCAGGGGTTGAGTGAGAGGACTAATATGTTGCTCATGGAGTATCTAAGAGAAGTATGTACGAGGTGCAGAAGCAAATCTGTTAATCAACTTATGTTGGGCAAACGTCACAGTATGATCAGTTAATGGATGATTGATCAATTATAAGGGCTTACATTTTCCTTCCCAAGCATTTATACAAGATCCTGATACCGGTGATGATTGGTATCCCCTACGGTTGGTTATGCTATCTGTGATTATTGCTGCTTGTACTTGATCACCGTGTTGTACAGTAGAGAGCATACCCATGGTATGCTCGGCCTTTGTTTGCAACTGAATGTTTCAGATGTATTCTACTTGTGTTTTGCTAGCTGTGAGGTGTTTGGACAGTGTCTTGTGATTCTGTGACAGTATTAATAGTGTAGTGTAAGCGAGTCTATCAATTTTGTGGGCAAAGGGCATTATTCTTCATTTTCATTTCTATTTCTTTAATCTCCCATTTGTTAAGTAATGTAATGTTGTTGTGTTTTTGTTGAAGTAATTATTACAAATGCACTTGAGCTAGTTCAGAACCTTTTTCTTATGAAACTGTCATTATCAAGTGGCAAGAAATGCATCTCTGTTTACTCTGTTATAGTCATTGTATAAGCATTAACTTTGGGGTCCTTTTTAGGGAAATGTAATTGGATTGTATTGAAGGAGTTGCCTTTATTGTATTGGTTGTCATTCCTTAGGTTTCACAATGCAATTATGAAATGTTTGTAGCTTATATTGCTGTTATATACTTGTGATTTTTGTTTTTGTTTTCTAACGGTTTGTAAAGGATATGTACAGTGTAGGTACAAGATGGAAGAGTGAATGATTTAGGATTAGAGTGTGTGTAGTAATATATAACGCTAACACTCACACTTACACATATATGCATATATACAAAACATACATGCTTAAATAAATAATACCAGATGCATATCTGTTGATTTTTATTGGAGGGTGCAAGTCTCTCTTAGGCAATGAGGTGGGCATTAGCAAAAATTTATCTGTTTTTTGTCAGATAAGGGAAGATATTCCAGAACACTGAGCAGTAGGGGTGTAGGCATTGAATATTTTGTTAATTTTTTTTGTTGGAATAGGGGTCTGGTGTGTGCCTCTGATTTGCCTACAGAGAGAGAGAGAGAGAGAGAGAGAGCATGGGCACTCTCTGAGCCCCATTGGTACATGTGTATGTCATTGATATAAAGCACATTTTGAAAACAATTGCACTTGCATTATTAAGGTTATATATATAAAATACTGTATATCTCGTGAAAATTTTATGGTTTAGACGAGTATGTGCATTACCAACTCTTTGATGTTATGTCTGAAAATATTGAGTGTTCCATTTTGTAACTGAATACAAAGATTGAAATGAAATATATTTATATTTTTGTTTGAACCTGTTTTTCCTTGAATTCCTCCAAGATATTGAAATTGCTATATTTCCCCCCCCCCAAAAAAAAAATATATATATATATTAACAGTGGTAAAGGTAATCCACTGAAAAAAAAAGCTTTTGATTTAGCAAATGATGTGATTAATCAATAGGCCTAATTACGTAGTTGGATCAACACCAAGTGTCATTAATTTTGTATCACTTTGGATTTTAGATTTTAATTTTTTA